AAGTGTATTCCAATAAGGGCGATTACGACAAAGTTTTGAAATGTAGAATTGTGAAAAAAACTTCTTTTTCCTTGATTGACACGTATCATTTAGCTGTCTCCAAAAGCCGCGCCACTAGTTAGGGTAATCTCATTCATACAAAATTTCACAAGGTACAGTGATGTAGGTTAAAGTCACGTTTTTGAGATAGGACACTTGAGAAATATTCCGTATAAAACAGACACAACTGACATCGAACTCATTCTGAAGTCATTCAGTGAAACAACATGGCCGCTAAACTCACTCTCTTCGTCTGCGCCACCGCCCTCGTGGCACAGGTACGTCTTTACAATTAAAACTTATATTTAATGTAAAACGCGTTCTAATATTAATATATTTAATTACTTCACATTGTTCACAGTCCGTTTTGAGCATTGGTTGCGGAGGTCGTGGTTACGGCGGTCTGGGCTATGGTGGTTTGGGCTATGGTGGTCTGGGCTACGGGGGTCTTGGAGGTGGATGCGGTCGCGGTTTCAGCGGTGGTGGTCTCCCTGTTGCTACTGCCTCTGCTGCTCCCACTGGTCTGGGTGTAGCTTCTGAGAACAGGTACGAAGGTACCGTCGGTGTCTGCGGCAACCTGCCGTTCCTTGGTACTGCTGATGTCGCTGGCGAGTTCCCCACCGCCGGTATTGGTGAAATCTTCTACGGGTGCGGAAACGGTGACGTTGGTATTACCCGCGAGGGTGGACTCGGCTATGGAGCTGGTTACGGAGGCGGCTACGGTCTGGGCTATGGAGGCTACGGAGGCGGCTACGGTCTCGGCTATGGAGGCTACGGCGGATGGGGATGTGGCTGCGGCTACTGAACAAATTGTCAACAAGACGCTTGTCCTTTTATAATGTGAACATTCAAAATATATTTTACCCCAGCATCAAACTGTGTTTCAGAATAATTATGCTCCATGGCGAAATTAATTCGAATTTTAATAAATTTGAATTAAAAATAGTGTAAGAAAAAATTATTTCAGTGTAAAAAAGCGTGCGGTGCTTTTCAGGATATTATCAAAATAGGCCTTCTACTCATATCTGTTCATAAAATATTTAAAACTATTGGTAGCGTGCACTCGACGCTTTTTTTTACAATTTTTTTTTATTACACTATTTTTAATTCAAATTTATTAAAACTTATTTTCAATTTTTTAGTTGGATTTTCTAGAAAATCGTATTTTTTTAGTTTTTTTAAACTTTTATTTATTTTCCATTTTTTAGTTGAATTTAAATTTTTTCTAAATTTTTTTTTCCAATTTTTCATAAATTCCATCTAAATCAGTCGGTAACTTATCCGAGAAATAGGTGATCGGCGCGCCTGGTAGTTTCCCTTCTTGGTCTTGACGCAGACACTCCGGGTCTCAGGAAAACAAAAAATCGCTAATCCTAATTATCCTAGTTAGGATAGCGGATCAAACTTTTAAAAATATTAAATTGTCATCGGTCCATAATAAGTATGCCGAATATCGAGTTAATCTGACGCTTTGAAGGGGGTTAAAATAATGTTCAAATATTCCGTTATATACTCACATACATACTAACATACGTATGAAGCTAATAAAAGCGTATTAATAAAATGCATCAAAGTTCAGGATTCAATGAATGATTTTTAAAGTATACAAACTGGTTAAGCTTTTATAAATGAAATAGAAAAGGTTGGTCTTAAATCATAAGCAAACCAAAATTAAAAATGAATTTGCAGCAAAACAAATTATTACAGCCGGGAAAAGAAAATCTACCCTCGGTCTCAAATTTTTGGTTTTTAGAGTATTTTTTAAATTGATTGTTATTTTGTTTTTCCATTTCACAATTGAATTATTATTTCCAATAGAACCTTTATTTAGTGCTTATAACTTAACAAGAGCTTCGGCACAATAATGCAGATACTTCGTTCGGACAAGCCGCACAAGTTGTGGCATTAGTTCGGCATCAACGGATAGAAATTTAAACCGGTCTGCGGTTGCTAAAGTGTATAGAAGGCTTGTAGAGACCGGTTCTTACAGAAGGAGTTGTGGTACCGGAAGAGCTTGAGTAACCACCCGACGAAACAACGAATGGGTCTTTCAGCTTCCTTGCAAAATCACATCCTCACGTCAAAGCAGAGCCGAATCAAGCACGTGGAGTTAACATGTTTACGCGAATGAAGCTAAGGGCTATCGGAGTCCTTAGACCAGCAAATGGTTTAAAGCTGTCTGCAACACCCAAACAAGCTCGCTGAAGATTTGTCCGTGAAAACCTAAATTAGTCTGAAGAACTATGGACCTCTGTATTATTTACCTACTTATCAAGGTAGGGCATGTTTATATAGTGAATAATATGGTCGCAGAAGAGTTTATCGTCAATGTAAGGATATTATGATCAAAGTATCATTGAGGAACGTGTCTTGTGGAGGCGGTTCATGTATGATCTTGGGTGCCACTTCATATTGAGTTATAATATGTGTTATACACAATAGTTACTTCTAATAAAATGAAAATTTTTGTAACCATGGTCTCTGTTTGTACAAAGCCAAAGTAGGGCTTTTTGTGGCTCTGGATTTTTTGACAGGATCTGAGATTCAATAAAAGGCTCTAGTCGGGGTATAACGAGTCAACGTGTAGTCAGGTAATGCGACTTCCTTTCCAAGGTGGTTAGATGTCAAACGAGAGTCCTACCGATGTGTCTTCTGCAGAAGAGCTAGGCTTGAATGAGTGTGCGTTGTGCCCATTTAAGAAAGGTAATAAAATTCAAATTGAGAAATGAAGGATACTAAGTCCTGAAAATCTTTAATAAGGAAGGAGTTTATGTTTTTCACTTTAATCGATTTTGTTTTTTTTTACTGGAGAGGATGGTAATTGAAGAGCCTTATCATCATCATCATCATCATCATCAGCCTAGACCATTACTTGACATAGGCCTCGCCCAAGGTTCACAACAATGACTTGTTCTGCGCAGTCTGCATTGAGTGGATTCTCACAATCTTCAACAGTTGATCGGTCTATGTCGTGTGAGGCTTGGCCTACTCACTCTGTGTTTTCCAGTGCGCTGTCGCCACTTGAGAACTTTTCGTCGCTTAAAGAGATAGGATATCGAAAATAAGAACCTATTGGGCTATCCGAATGTAGCTAGTGAGGCAGAGCGCTGATGTTCGGAAACTCGGTTAGGTCAAGCTCCGTGTTTTCAAGTGTTTCCAACACTCCAAACTAAAGATAAACGTTTGAAGGTTTATAAGGCAATTGAAAGGATTCTCCACCAAAAGTCTGCTCTAACTGAATTTGTGAAACTAGCATTTCAAACCCCAGCTTGTACAAGAATAAAGCCAACAAGAGAACCATTCAGATTTTTCGGTACCGTAGTCGCCCGAAAGTTTTAAGATCTCAGGGTCAAAGAAAACGTTTTAGGTTTCATTTATATTTGGTATCATAAGCTCTGTAGCGATTTTTTAGAGTAATTGATTGATGCGATCACCACCGGAATCACCAGCGGCCGCGAGAACATTTCTGCTACCTGAAACCACTGTACTTCTTCATAGTAGACCCAGACATTACTTTACCATAATAATATGTTTTGCCTACTCAGGGAATCCTTCCTGTCCTCAATATTATCAAATAATGTAGGTACTAGACGTGTATGTTGTTTAAGATTTTTAATTAAGTAGCTTTACTTGAAACCAAATTCTTGAGCAGAGGTTCTTGGAAAGTCTTTCCGAAAATATTAGTTTGTGGATTTAGGGTAGACAAATCTTAATAAAAATAGCTACGGTTGCATCGATCAGAATTTAATTAATGGAGGGTTGCCGTATTTTCTTTCTTTACATTTTCAGTAGTATCCACCGAAGCCAGCGCGTCCACATCCGCAGGTGGGAGCGCAGTGTCCGCAGATGGAGACGGCACCAGCGGCGCAGGCGGGACCTCCGTACTCGACACCACCGATGATGGGCACGCGGCCGCCGACAGCGGTGACACCACCGACGGGCAGCTCACCGGCGACTCCAACGTTACCGATACCCTCACCTCCGTATGAGCTGCAGCCGGCGCCGTATCCACCGTCGATGCCGTTCCAGCCAACACCTAGACCGTTCCAACCACCACCGAGTCCGTTCCAACCATTCCAGCCACCTCCACAACCGCAACCGCCTAGTCCACCCAAATACAGGCCATACACATTCTGTAACGAGAGCGAAGATTCACGTGGACATTCCAATCTATCAGCAAAAACACAAATGTAGTAGTTGGTAATTTCAAATCAGAGAGCACATAAAATAAACACTACTCACTTGGATCAGGCAGGCCTGAGCGCAGAAGAGAAGGAAAGCGAAGGTAGACATATTATTGTCGTATTCAGGTACTAGACGAAGAATGCTATTACTGCACAGCGGCAATCCTTTTATACGAATAAGTGTATTCCTTTAGAGTGATTACAACAAAGTGTTGAAATGCAGAATTGTGAAAAAAACTTCTTTTTCCTTGATTGACACGTATCATTTAGCTGCATCCAAAAGCCGCGCCACTAGTTAGGGTAATCTCATTCATATAAAATTTCACAAAGTATAGTAATGTAGGTTAAAGTCACGTTTTTGAGATAGGACACTTGAGAAATATTCCGTATAAAACAGACACAACTGACATCGAACTCATTCTGAAGTCATTCAGTGAAACAACATGGCCGCTAAACTCATTCTCTTTATCTGCGCCACCGCCCTCGTGGCTCAGGTATGAGATATATTCAATTTAGGCTAATTTATTATGTTACAATTTATATTACTACTAACAAGTTCTGCATTTTCCAAGACGCAATTTTGTTTAAAATATTAATTTTAATGATGAATTGCTTTAGGCTGGTCTAAGCCAGTACCTTGGAGGTTTCGGCGCTGGACTCGGTGGTTGTGGCTGCGGAGGTCGCGGCTACGGTGGTTACGGCTACGATATCGGCGCTGCTGCCGCTCTCGAAGCTTCTAACGGAGGAGGTCTCCCCGTCGTTACCTCCTCTGCTGCTCCTACTGGTCTGGGTGTAGCTTCCGAGAACAGATACGAAGGTACCGTCGGTGTCTGCGGTAACTTGCCTTTCCTTGGTACTGCTGGTGTTGCTGGTGAGTTCCCCACTTATGGTCTTGGTGGCATCGACTACGGTTGCGGTGACGGCGCCGTCGGCATCACCGCTGAGAGAGGCATCGGCTACGCTGGTGGTCTCGGCTATGGCGCTGGATACGGTCTCGGCTATGGAGGCTACGCCGGAACCGGATACGGATGTGGATGTGGTGGAAGAATCTACTGAAAAATGTGTTAAAACCCAGACTGAACCAAACTCTTCGAATTGAAATAAAAGCACACGAAATATCTTTTTTGTTTTCATGTTTTACTAAAACGCAAAAGCAAATCCAATTCTCCATCGATTTTCTAGTTAAATTGAACACAGATAGGTTTGGACAGTTTGAAACCTAAAGCCTTGCTGGTTTTCTTCTTACTTCTAATTTATTGGAGCTATTAAGATGAAATAAGACAATAGATACGAGATTAAGCAAAGAATTCGGTTGGACGCTGTGATTCTTTGCGCACCGCACACAGAGGAAATTCAACAATGTGCGATATTACTCTCATCTAGTCTTAACTTAAAAGAAATAATGCAAAACTAATGCATGCGTTGCTTTTTAAAATTTTGATGACAGAGCGAACATTAGGACTGGTGTTCTCGTAGGAAACCCACGTCAATATGAATCTTGTCATCTACTTTCACACACGAATTAATACAAATCTCAGTTGTATGTATTATTGTACGGACAATTGTCACAATGGTAGCGTGGTATGGACATGTGATTCGTAGAGAGAAGATGTATGTGAGTAGGAGATGTATGGAAATGATAGTGCAAGATAGAGGAGAAGAGGTCGATCGAAGACACATGGATGGAGTGTGTCGTGACAATATGAGAGATAGAGGAGTGAGTGTTGAGATGACGGCTGATTGAAGAAAATGGAAGAGAAAAATTTGCTATACCGACCCCACCCAGTGGGATAAAGTGGAGAAAAAAGAAATATGTATTATTCTACAAGATCTTTGTTACTATTATTATTTATTTTATTATTGACGACTGTAGTTACATTTGAAAACGGGAATAAGTGACTATAGGCAGTATCGGCATACCTAAACGGTAGACAGCGGCTTGGCTCTGCCCCTGACGTTGCTAATGTTCACGGGCGACGGTAAGCACCCACCATCAGGTGGGCCGTTCGTTCCTCTGCCTACAAGGACAATAAAAAAAAGCTACACCTTATACGAAAAATAAGCTAATTACGACATAAGCATCTTTAAATAGATTTTGAGAAGTGTTTACATCTTGACAGAAATGTACACCGGAAAAACATAATATTAAAATAGGAGGATCAAGTCTAATTAAGTTTTGCTTTGCTTTTTTTTAATAATTTTTAATGTTTCCTAAATGTGTAATTCACTAATCTTCGTGATTCGGAGATGAAATTTCTCTAATTAGAGATTTAAATCAAATTTTACAGAATTAGCTAAGATGTTGATCTAGGAAAAGCCACGAATGAACTCGATGCAAACTTCTCTTCGAACCATCCTTGAGTTTTGGATTTTGGTGGACGAGCTCACAGCCCACCTGGTGTTAAGTGGTCACTGTACTGATTGTTTGTAACTTAATTATTATTATTGTATTTTTATTGCTTTGTAAATTGTAAATAAATATTTATTCATAATTTTATTTCGAGTTTGATGTCTGTTTAGAATCTCGGATTAGGTTTGTCAATTCTGCTCTTGTCACTTGGTTTTGTTCATATGGCAGTAATTTTCGGCCTAAGGTTCTAAGGTCTCAAGTACCTATAGTTACAACGGCTGCCCCACTCTTCCAGCCGAAACGTATTACTGCTTCACGGCAGAAATATGCAGGGCGATGGTACCTACCCGTGTGTACTCCCAAGAGGTCCTACCACCAACGAAATAAATGGCTGGCTATAAATTCCAAAATTCAATAACTATATTATTTTAAAATTACGGAATTATACTCTTCAATTTCGGTCATATTATGTTTATTCATTAGTGCTTTATTTTCACTAGATTTGTATGATTAAAAATACCAGCAAATATGGAACAAGAGTTCCGTAGCGGTTGTAGTTCCATATATATGACTCAAAATAGTAATCGTTAATGGTAAAAAGAAAATGTGGTGTCGTGGGACACCAGGTAGGAACGAAGTTCCTTCGGCTAATGTAGAATCGACACAATTTGCAAAAAAAAATCGTGCTCAATTTTATGTTGGTTTTCTTGATTTTTCTCTTAAATTTTGCTGATTAGTTTTTTATTTAAATACAGGAAAGTATTTAGGAAATTCAGTATTTAGGAAATAATAAATAACGTAAAATAAAAATAAAATCGTAATTCAAATTATCAATTAAAATAACAAAAGATGTCTCTTTATTTTTGTTTGACAACATAAAATTACATAGAAATAGAAATAATTACAAAATAGAGAGAGAAGAGATGAGAGAACGAAAAGAAAGAGGGAGAAAGAGAAAGGTATTATACACTACTCGCTTGTGTATACGACTGTCGCGCTTGCGCACGTCTCATTTAACGGTTTTATTCCACGCACTTTTTTCCACGGATTTTTTCTTACGGTTTTACTATCACATTTTTTTCAGTTCGGTCGCGCAGCAAAATCCCTGTCCCCTCCAAGCCTGCCGTAAGCCTGTCGTTCCAAAAGTGAACCCGTGGTCGCCCAAAAACTAATGTTGACAACAACGAATTAAAGGCAATAGTGGAAGACAACTTGCGATTTGGAGTCGAGGCAATAGTGGAAGACGATGACGTTCATTCTACCACTGAGCTAGCAGTTGCTTTCAACTATAGCAACAAACAATATTGGTTCATTTGTGACAAATTGGCGATGCAAGAAAACTTGTTAAGAGCGTTCCACATGACCGGAACGATCGGCATTGCGACGAACGCGTCAAGGTGTGCTTTTCGTTCCTTAACAGACAAAGAAACGAAGATATTTTGAGCTGCATTGTCACTTGCGATGAAAAATGGATTCTTTTTGATAATCTTAAGGGGTAATCATGTTTACTAGAGGTCCAGCAGTAGTCGAAATTCGACTATAATTGATTTTAATTGTAAGTTTGTACACTATTATGGTTGTATTTTATACTTCTATAATCACAAACTTCGCTAAGACTACACTATAAAAAACAAAGACAAACAATATTTAACCACAATTTGACAACAGACGTCAAGAACAAAAGTTTGACAATAAATAGTATGCATGCGTGTGTGCGTCAAATACATGGTATGTAGTGTGTGTAATGTTTTATTTATTTAATGTATCTCATATGCATTATTTTTTTTAAATATTAGCATTGTGCACTTCATCTCTGTATTCTCTATAAGTGTGGAAACTTTCATACTCCTCCGTCCGCGCCATTTTCGTAAAAAGGGATACAAAGTTTTTGCTTCACGTATTAATATATAGATGCCGTAAAATCGATGCACTGGAGATATGGTGCTGGAGACGCTTCCTAAAGGTTCCAAGGATGGCATTCCGCACCAACGCATTCATCCTCAAAGAACTCGGTATCAAATACCGACTTTCGTCAACTGTGCAACGGAGGGTTTTATTATTCTTAGGTCACATCTCCAGAGAAGAGCACTCGATGGAGAGACTGGTAGTTCCGGGCGGAAGACAGAAGATCACGCGGCCGCTCACCGATCCGCTGGACTGACCTAATAAAGAAGGCAACTGAGTCCACTATGGTCGAATGTACTCGAAACGCTTCGAACCGCCAGATCCGTATTGCCTGGAGACCGGTCGTCGGGAGCATGGGCGACCTAACAGGTCCTACTACACATACAGCGTCAGCGCAACTACGACCACTCTGACAAGAGTATCCGATTGAGAATAAGAAGAATCATGTTTGCTAGACCCTAGTTCAGCACCTTGGACATTCCAAAATAACAATTTACCCCTAAAAGTCATGTTCACTGTTTGGCCACTGTTTGGAAAAAAATCTACACCCAAGAGGCAGTACAAAATGCCATTGAAGAGTTTATTGTCTCCCTTGTTTTTTTTGATTTCTTTAAGTAGGGCATTGAAAAATTGTTGCTGTGCTGGCGACACTTAAATACCACGGGTACACGTTTTGATTGATGGTAAAAGAAAAGTTACTAATCTTCTAACTAAATATTTCAAAATTTCATAATCACTCCAACATGAGTGAAATTTGTAAATAGCTATGTACCATCTAAAATAAAATTATCTTATGTGTTGTAAGAAATTAAAAATGTTAAAAGCACGTTTTATTTGAGAAATGAAAGACAGATTTCACAAGCTTTTTATTATTTCACAATTACCTATTATTTTACAATTTGAAAATTAAGTGAGCTGATGTGTATAAAGAGAGTTAACTTTTACATGAAAATACATTCTCCGTCTAGTACCTGAATACAACAACATGTCTACCTTCGCTCTCCTTCTCCTCTGCGCTCAAGCCTGCCTGATCCAAGTGAGTAGTCTTAATTTTATGTGCTCTGCGCTCTGAAATTGTAACTACTAATATATAATACTGATGTTGTTTCTGATGAGTTTTAATATGGTCATGAAGCGTTACTGTCGTTACAGAACGTGTATGGCCAGTACTTGGGTGGACTAGGCGGTTGCGGTTGTGGAGGTGGCTGGAACGGCTGGAACGGACTCGGTGGTGGTTGGAACGGACTAGGTGCTGGCTGGAGTGGACTCGACGGTGGATACGGCGTCGGCTGCGGTTCATACGGAGGTGAGGGTATCGGTAACGTTGGAGTCGCCGGTGAGCTGCCCGTCGGTGGTGTCACCGCTGTCGGCGGCCGCGTGCCCATCATCGGTGGTGTCGAGTACGGAGGTCCCGCTTGCGCCACTGGTGCCGTCTCCATCTGCGGACACTGCGCTCCCACCTGCGGATGTGGACGCGCTGGTTTCGGTGGATATTACTAAAAAACTAATAAAAAAAAGTGCTATTAAATAAATAATGTTTATTGAATGAGTAATCATAATTTATTTCCTTATTGCGCACAAAAAACTCAATGATAAAAACACACACATACGAACATAATATAAGTCTGTTATTGTAGAGTAGGGTAGTGAATAATATGTTTAATTGTTAAATGAAATCAATAAAAAAAGGCAAAACATTAAAGACAAAAGTAAAACAAGCGGTCTGGTCGCTAAGGACAAGGCCGCGCTTCTGCCAGCGATAGCCAAATTTACGGACGATTCCTTCGGAAACGCTTCTGGGACTTCATTACCCAAAAAAAATTTAATAGACGAGCAGTTTGGGCTTCGCGCCAAACACTCGTGCATACAACAAGTGCACTGCCTCACGGAGCATATGTTAATAGGACTAAATAGGCGGAAACCAATCCCGACCTCTTCTTTGATATCACAAGGACGTTCGACAAAGTCTAGCATAACGGTTTGACTTACAAACTGTATAACTGGACAAAGTGATTGTGACGGGCAAAGTAGAAGAGACCCCGCGGCCGATTACCTAGCCGTTGGTGTGATCAAGTAACCGCCCTAACTGGGCTGCCAGTCGCAACCGCCATTCGAGAAGCTGAGGACCGGACGAGATGGAAACAACTCACGAGACAGGCCACGGTCAAGTTTCAGGGACACGACTTTCAGCAATGAAGAAGCGACGAAGAAGAAATAACGTGAAAGTGCCAGAAAGACTCGTGCTCATCATACGAGACTTCTTGTCGAACCGTTTGTTTCGATATCGAGTAGAGGGAACTCGCTCCCGCCCCCGTCATCTCACGGTCGGAGTTCCGCAAGGCATCGCGCTCTCCCCGTTATTATTTAGTTTTTATATCAATGATATACCCCGGTCTTCGGAGACCCATCTAGCGGTCTTCGCCGATGACACGGCTATCTACTACTCATGTAGGAAGAAGTTGCTGTTGCATCGGCAACTCCAGATCACATTAGCCACCAGTGGTTCCGGAAGTGACGCATTGACATCAACCTCACGAAAATCACAGCGGCGCTCTTCAAAAGGGGTCCTCCTCCTCACTTCTCCTCCTCCTATGATTTGCAAGCGAAGTAAATAGTGCCTTCGTAATAGGGTGACACTCTACAGAACTTGCATACGCCCTGTCATGACCTATGCAAGTGTAGTATTCGCTCACGCGGCCCGCACTAATTTGAAACCCCTTCAAATTATTCAATCCGTCGGAGCACCATGGTTCCAAAGAAATGTGGACCTCTGGAAAAATACTTTGATACATTATTTTTTTATATTTATTTGTTTTCGTTCAATCAGATTCAGTAAAATTCTTTTACAATTGCATTTTAATTGTCTTATTTTCAATACATTTCAACGGATGTTTTCACTAAAAGGCCGCTTCGAACTAGACACCCCTCTCCCTAAATTATTATCTTAACTTGTTTGGATGTAAGGAGTCGACTTTATCAGTATACTTTGTAATTCAATGTGTGTAGTAATTCTGGACCGGTGAAACTTGATATAATGTTGATGACTGTTTTGGCGTAGCTTCTTCGGTACGACATGTGACCATTTGGTTGTCTAGTTTTGGAATGCGGTCATTTTTCAAGTTAATCATTTACCGTCAGTCCGCTGCTTTCAATCGACTTGAGTCTCTTTATATTCGGTCGTACTATTATTAATTCAAGGAGCTAATCTGATGAACCACGGTATGTACATGTGATGCGTAGAGAGAAGATGCATGTGACCAGGAGATGTATGGAAATGGTAGTGCAAGGTAGAGGGGGAAAAGGTCGACCGAAGAAGACATGGATGGAGTGTGTGAATGACGATATGAGAGAGAGAAGAGTGAGTGTTGAGATGACGGCTGATAGAAGAGAATGGAAGAGAAAAATTAGCTGTGCCGACCCCTTGTGGGATAAGGTTGAGAAAAAGAAGAAGAGAATCTGATGAACTGTTTTTGTTACACTATGTACTATTATGTTTATTAACTTTTGTGAACCATTCAGGACGCCGAACGATTAAGGGGGTTTATTTACACACATTTAATAAAGTGTATCATGAGGTCTAGTCAAAATTAATTAAAACAACAAGATGGAATGATGCGATTTTATTTCATTTTGAAAGGTGCTTGATAGGATCTTCGTCATTATTTCACCAGATGCCACCGCAGCCGCAGCCCCATCCGCGTCCGGCGTAGCCTCCATAGCCGAGCCCGTAACCAGCGCCGTAGCCGAGACCACCAGCGTAGCCGATGCCTCTCTCAGCGGTGATGCCGACGGCGCCGTCACCGCAACCGTAGTCGATGCCACCAAGACCATAAGTGGGGAACTCACCAGCAACATCGGCAGTACCAAGGAACGGCAGGTTACCGCAGACACCGACGGTACCCTCGTATCTGTTCTCGGAAGCTACGCCTAGACCAGTAGGAGCGGCGGAAGCGGTGACAACAGGGAGACCTCCACCGTTGGAAGCTCTGAGAGCGGAAGCAGCAGCAATGTCGTTGCCAAGACCACCATAGCCTCTTCCACCCCAACCGCCACAGCCACAGCCATAGCCGCCGATAGGTATAGACAGAGTGGACTATTCACACAAAATAAAGAACAACATTAAACACATTGTTACAGTTCTGCTTATAATTACTTGTAAGTCCTTTTTTAAATCATAGAATTTCTTCCTATTGTGGTTATCTTCCAGTAACTGATGCACAGCAGCGGGTTAATATTATTATGGTGATTTTTTTGACGTGCAGGAATAGGAAAGGTTAGCGTGGTATGGACCTGTGATGCGTAGAGAGACGATGAATGTGACTGGGATATATGGAAATGGTAACGCAAGGTAAAGGGGGAAGAAGTCGACCGAAGAAGACATGGATGTAGTGTGTGAATGACGATATGAGAAAGAGAGGAGTGAGTGTTGAGATGACGGCTGATAGAAGAGAATGGAATAGAAAAATTCGCTGTGCCGACCCCACCTAGCGGCATAAAGCGGAGACAAAGAAGAAGAACAAGAACGAACAGAAACACTTCATAAATATATGTTTGTTGTATGTAAAAAAAAAAAACCTTCTCTATTTCTTTATAAGTGTAGCAAATTTGATGCTCCGCCGTCTGCGCAGTTTTCGCGAAAAGCGGTACAAAGTTTGACTTCAAGTATTAATATATACATTAGTATTAGAATGCGTTTTTTTTATTTAATGTATCGCACTGTTTATTTGTTTTTTTGGTGTACAATAAAGAATACTCTCTCTTTCTCTCTCTCTCTCTCTCTCTCACTCTCTCTCTCTCTCTCTCTCTCTCTCTTTTACATTAAATGTAAGTTTTAATTGTAAAGACGTACCTGTGCCACGAGGGCGGTGGCGCAGACGAAGAGAATGAGTTTAGCGGCCATGTTGTTTCACTGAATGACTTCAGAATGTGTTTTCATGAACGCGGCTCCATTTTATACGAATACAGTCTTTATTTTATCTTGAAATTAAGTAAACAAACGTGCCTCACAAAGGACCTCATAAGGCATTGATACGACAAACGATAATTAAATTAATTTTGTAATCCATTGAGAACGTGTTGGTCCTTAAAAAAAAACAAGGCAAACAGAAATGACAAAATCTGCTTTTAAAATTTTGTAATTTTATTAGTAAATTAATATTAAACGTGTCTACTTACGAAAAAAATGTTTCACAATTATTATTATTGTAAGAATACAAAAAAAAATATTTCGAAATTCTTTTGCAATTGATCGGGTTAAAATTTATATAAATTAATAAAAAAAATTGTAGGCAAAATCATTGTATATTCAATAGAAGTTCTAAGATGTCTGTTTTCACGCTTCTGCTCTGCATTCAGGCTAGCCTGCTCCAAGTAAGTGAAAATGCTCATTGCTGTCATTGGAAAGACAACATATAGTCCATCTAATCCTTAATTGTTCGCCTTTTTTATTTTTAATAAGCTTTTTTGAGCTTCAGACGTATGTATGTTAGTATGTAATGGAATCTTTGAACAAGATTTTGACCCCCTTCAAACCGTCGGATTAACTCGAAATTTGGCATACTTATTAAGGACCTATGACAATTCAATATTTAAAAAAAAATATGGAAAAATTGAAATTCAACTAAAAAATGAAAATCAAACAATAGTTGAAGGGAAAAACAAAACTAAAAAAATACGCTTATAAACAAAATCCAGCTAAGATATAGAAAATAAATTTGAATTAAAAATAGTGGAAGAAACAATGATTGTAATGTAAAAAAGCGTGGAGTGCTTTTTAGGATATTATCAAAATAACCCTTCTTCTCATATCTGTTCATAAAATATTTATAACTACTGATACCATGCACCTCACGCTTTTTTACAATAAAATCATTTTTACTTACACTACATAATATTTTGAATTCAAATTTATTTTAATATTTTTTGTTGGATTTTCTATAGAAGCGTATTTTTTTTATTTTTTTTAACTATTATTTATTTTATCTTATTTCAGAAAGAGCATATATTTTAGTTAGTGTTACTTATAACTTTTGCTAGTAACTTAAAAACATTAATTAACATCTGATTCTATTTATTACTTTTTTTTTGAGTCTTTCAAAAGTGCCGGCTGCAAAAGCTATTAACTAGCATTCCCTCGATATTGCTTGATATTATGTTCATAAGACCAGAAAACTGTTGCCAATGCCACGCTTGACGCAATAACGACGCACTTTTTCTACTTTTTCTCCACCTTATCCCACTAGGTGGGGTTGACACAGCGACTTTTTCTATTCCATTCTCTTCTATCATCCGTCATCTCAACACTCACTCCTCTCTCTCACTTCTCTTCCGTATTATTGAAAGAAGTCATCTATGTGAGATGTTGCAAACATTGCGGTTGCATTATTGGGATATTAGCCAAAGGCCAGAGGGATAATCGTGTGTGATTTCTCAAACATGATATGGCGAAATAATATTAAGATCCAGGAAATATCGGGTCGAGAAGTTAATTCCAGAGTCATAAATTATATTCCAAAAAAAAAGATCTCTACAATCTGTGATTCAATGTAGGGAATATGCGTGTTATATGCTTCGACAGTGGGGATAAGCTCTCTTTCGATAGCTGTTGCTGCCATGTTAAATCATCTAGATGACAATTTTAATTGCTGTGAGATGGTCTCCATGTTTTGATTTATATACCATATAGAGTTAGGCCAATGTTATACAATCTATACGCTCAGTACGTTGATACAGGTTTGGGGGGCTGCGATCCCGGAGCCGGCTTGGGTGTCCATCGACTCGGGTATGGCGCCGCCTGGCATGGACTCGGCGATGGCTGGAACGGAATCCATGCTAGATATGGCGGCGAAGTCATCGGCAGCACGGGAGTCTCCGGTGACCTATCTGTTGCCAGTGCTACCCCCGTCACTGGTCGCGTCTCCATCACCAGCGCTGTTGGGTCCGGAGATCCCACCTGTTCTGCTGCTACCACCTCTATGTGCGGACGCTGCGCTCCCACCAGCGGATGTAGACACGCTGCCCTAGCTGGATACTACTAAAAACTATAAATAGAACAAAATTACGATTCAAAATAAACATTGAATATTTTTTGCAGTCACATTCATATTTTTAATAGCTATCCATTACTTGTGCTCAGGAATAATTTTACTATCATCGAATATTACCGAGTTCTACATTAGCAATACTTCAATCTCCTTGTCTGGTCATTTAAATAACAAAATCCCTAATTATAGATCTTAATTTGATTACCTAAGCCGTAATGGCCATACTTGCTGTGACAATCGTAAAATTATTTTAAGTGTTTAACGATATACTAGAGGTCCCGCAGTAGTCGAAATTCGACTATAATTAATTGTCATTGTAAGTTTGTACACTATTATGATTGTATTTTATACTTCTATAATCACAAATTTCGCCAAGACTACACTATAAAAATATTAACAAAAGCAAACAATATTTAATCTATTCTCAATTTGACAACAGACGCCAAGAACAAAAGTTTGACAATAAATAGTATGCATGCGTGTGTGCGTCAACTACATGGTATGTAGTGTGTGTAATGTTTTCTTTATTGATTTAATGTATCTTTTATGCATTATTTTAAAAAAAGATTAGCATTGTGCACTTCTTCTCTATATTCTCTATAAGTGTGGAAAATTTCATACTCCTCCGTCCGCGCAATTTTCGTAAAAAGGGATACAAAGTTTTTGCTTCACGTATTAATATATAGATTCATTATCCAGCGGCTATACATGGTAACTATTGGTTAATTGAAAATTTTGGTCTCGGCTGAATATCCACAGGGTCGTTGGCAATTATTTCACATTTTATGTACAGGTAGATTGCATTTTATTGTGTTCTTGCGGTATAATGGTTTTATTACTTAAAATAAAAACCGATTAAGTTATTTATTGTTGGTAGGACGTCTAGAGTCCGCGCGGATAGGTACCACCGCCCTGCCTATTTCTGCCGTTAAGCAGTAATGCGTTTCGGTTTGAAGAGTGGAGCAGCCGTTGTAACTATACTGAGACCATAGAACTTATATCTCAAGGTGGGTGGCGCATTTACGTTGTAGATGTCTATGAGCTCCAGTAACCATATAACACCAGGTGGGCTGTGAGCTCGTCCACCCGTCCAAGCAATAAAAAAAAGTAGATTTTCTCAGTTTTATTCACCTAGAAACTAAAATTTTAACTGCATCATTTTACCAGGAACCTTCCCTAACATGTTAAAAACAAACTTACAGATTTTCAACTAAGTTAAACCATGTACAAAATGATACCGCGACCGAGGGAACCGGAGTTATTAGTGAGGTTCAAATCCCACATACGGTGATTTTCCCCTGCTCACAACGAAAAAAAAAATCATACAGAAAGGAGACGGAAAATCGTGGGCCAAAATGCAATAACTTGGAATGTAGTCTAAAAAATTTTTCATATTTTTTTATATAAGAATATAAAAAATCACCTCAATCCTCTTTCTGGGACCGGAGAAAAATGAGAAAGTTAGTTTTTGTCGGTATAACGGTGTGATCGATTTATTAATCGATTACAGGATTATAAAAAGAAAAACATTGCACTAGGTAATTAATGCAAAGTAATTAAATGAGCGATTTATACTTGTTGTATACAAGTGCGGTATGCGCCGGATTTAATTGCGATTGTATACATAAATGAAGAAAAAGTCTATTATTACTTAGCAAAGTAATATGATTATCGATTTCAAATCGATTAAAATCGATTGTATTTTTGATGACAGCTTTGACAGTAAGCTGACATGACGTTTGTTCATAGAATATACAATTATTTTTTGGTGCTTGTTGGTTTTTTCTGCTCTACTCGTTTTGTATCTTCGACGCATTTTGAGTGTGTAAGTATCTATCGGGCTGTTTTTATATTTTCAACGATCACTGCTTTATTATTACGGATTCCAACTCTGCCAGCCTTGTACGACAATTGCTTCTACACTGGACACCGAAGATCGCTCACACGTTTGACTTGAAATTGTTGCATTGGATACTGTTGAAATTATGGATCGCTGTGTAAATTGTGGGATAGCAATTCCATATTCCATACCTGATATATATCATTGATATTCATTAATAATATGACATTTAAAAGATTATCCAATGGATATAATAAACATTTACTTATGCTTAAATAAGTTATTATTCAGCTCTTTTAAAGAGATTGTAACATAACCTAACTTTTACTAAATCTTTATTAACTCGGCTCTCAGATTGAGAAAACTTTTATAATTTTCAGCAAGGTACTGATAAATCTGAATCTATTAATTCATATTNAAGCTTAAATTTACCAGACTGCATCATTATACCAGAAACCTGCCCTAAAATGTTAACAGCAAACTTAGAGATTTTCAACTAAGTTAAATCATGTACAAAATCATACTGCGACCGAGGGAAGCGGAGTTTTTGGTGAGGTTCAAATCCCACTATTACTGGTGGTAGGACCTCTTGTGAGTCCGCGCGGATAGGTACCACCGCCCTGCCTATTTCTGCCGTGAAGCAGCAATGCGTTTCGGTTTGAAGGGTGGGGCAGCCGTTGTAACTATACTTGAGACTTTAGAACTTATATCTCAAGGTGGGTGGCGCATTTACGTTGTGGATGTCTATGGGCTCCAGTAACCACTTAACACCAGGTGGGCTGAGCTCGTCCACCCATCTAAGCAATAAAAAATATATATCTCTCTTGCGAAATGTCAAAAAATTATAGAGTCAATGGCACGCCGGTGTAGAGCCGCAATGGAAAGCCGTGGACATGCTACTATTTGTTTTAATTTAAAATAATATATTATATTAAATTTCTTATGTTCTTTTCACACTTCACATTAATGTGATGTATTTAACCTAAGTTTCAAATTATATTTACCGATTTTTACCGAAAGAAAACCCTAGAGCAGCTTAATACATTGTTCTTAATTATTTGTCTAGTTTATGTGTGTACTTTCAGCTGTAAATTTGTCTGTAGAGCATAAATAAAATTCGTAAAAGGTATAGTTAGCATTTAGCTATTTCATAACTAGTTATTGTTAAGAAGGAATACATAACTAACTATACATTGGATATAACTAACATACAATTTTATGTGTGAAGTCAAATTGTAATTATGTTATCAAATATATAATAATATGTCGACAAATAAATAGATACGGCTATTTCAACAATGTAAATTGTATAAAAAAGAAAATACAAAACAACAGATAAGGAATTAATTTAAAATTTGACACTTATTTATAACAAATTGATTTATCGTATGCTCGAGTATATTCTAAATTTTCCGTGTTGTTATTGATATTAGTATTACTTAGTATTGTTGGGGAAACTAGTTTAATTGCTATTTATAGCTGAAATTCGTGCACAGATTTGTACATCGATTTACCAATCAAAACTTTATTTTAATATTTAAATATAAGTGAATATTTGGTGGTTTTGTTTGAAATTTCTGTATGATATTTTTTTTCGTCGTGAACAGGGGAAAATCATTATTAAAACAGTAATACTGTGTTCTAGTCTGAAGGACAGGATAGCCGGTGTAACATACATAAGGCTGCCCATCCAGGCCAGGATAGGCAGCGTATCTGAGTCACTGATGTAGTTTGGATGTCTATGGGCGACGGTTATCATTTCCCATCAGATGAGCCGTAAGCTCGTCTGCTTATAGAAAGCAATAAAAAAAAAAAAAGATATAAGTTCTAAGTTCTCAGTATAGTTACAACGGCTACCCCACCCTTCAAACCGAAACGCATAACTGCTTCACGGTAGAAATAGGCAGGGTGGTGGTTGGTACCTACCCGTGCGGACTCACAAGAGGTCCTACTCCCAGTAATTACGCAAATTATAATTTTGCGGGTTTGATTTTTGTTATTCCTTCACCGTGGAAGTCAATCGTGAACATTAGTTATTTCATTACAAAAATTGGTACACGCCTGCGGGATTCGAGTCATCGATGCATCGCTAGATACGAATGCACCGGACATCCTAACCATTAGGCCACGACGACTTCTTAATTAAGGAGTTTAATTCTTTTAATAAAAAGTTGTACGGCTCTCTTGAATTGCCGCAATGACGCAATTTTAAATCTTCTTCGAACCTCGCACATAATATTCTCTATTGGATTCATCATCCAAATATTCTATTGGACCAAATCTATCTACTCCTTTCTCCATTTAGGTAGACGCATTTGAAGTACATTGATACGCGGCGTGATGCTCACCGCGTCGAAAACCATCATCATCAACCAACCATTTGATCATTGCACGGTTGCTTTTGTTCTTATACGGCTAATTCTTTTCACGAAGTTTTAATAACTTGTTGCTTTATCAAACTTTTTGTTTCTCCTCATTTATTTCATATGAAGCAATAATCGTTAGCTAATAGCCCAGCACTAGTTGGCGCCAAAATTATACGGACGGTGACCTGTCATCCATTGAGTCACAGGGTGTACTTTATTTCAATTTGAATAAAACATTTTTTTCCTGCCTATGCTGATAGCCTTGAGAGGCTATATCAGCTTCGCCCAAACGTGTAGGCGAGCTCACGGGGCTCAAGCCGGAGTGGTGCTAACACTGGCCCTAGCAAGAGCAGTGCTTCGCAGAATCTACCACCGGATCGGAAACGCGACCCACTGAGAAGATCCGGCGAGCAACTGTTTATTTTATTTTTTTATTGCTTATATGAATGGACGAGCCCACCTCGTGTTAAGTGGTTACTGGAGCCCATATACATCACGCAAATGCGCCACCCACCTTGAGATATAAGTTATAAGGGCAGCCGTTGTAACTATACTTGAGAAAGTATAGTTACAACGGCTGCCCCACCCTTCAAACCGAAACGCATTACTGCTTCACGGCAGAAATAGGCAGGGTGGTGGTACCCACCCGCGTGGATTCACAAAAGGTCCTACCACCAGTAATAATAGTGGGCTGTGTCTGTGGGTTAATTCGCTCGTCTAGCCCTTGTGGTACCTAAAAGAACCGTTCGGGAGGATCCGTAATGACATGTTTTGGGCGTCGTCGACTGTTATAATAGCAATAATCGTTAGCTACTAGCTACTAGCATTAGCTACTAGATTAGTGAAATAATCTGCTAATATAATTTCTAGCTAATGACCTAACTATGTTTTCTCAAGACTCCTGTGGAATTTCAATGCTTTAAACGCAGAATACTTTCTTACTGTTCCGTTAAAAGTCGTATCGATAATTTTTGGAACTCGTTTGAAAGTACCAGAAGAAGGTTTTACTGAAACTTAAACCACATTCGCTATCAAAATTCAATTTCAGATATTTATAAAATAATCGACAATTTTCATATTATATTAAATAAGGAAACAAACAAGTCAGTTTGATGCGATTTATTTTGTACGGTTTAACAGTGTTCAATTTAAAATATTATTTAGTAGATTCTTCCACCACATCCACATCCATATCCGGTTCCGGCGTAGCCTCCATAGCCGAGACCGTATCCAGCGCCATAGCCGAGACCACCAGCGTAGCCGATGCCTCTCTCAGCGGTGATGCCGACGGCGCCATCACCGCAACCGTAGTCGATTTCACCGAAACCGTAAGTGGGGAACTCACCAGCGATATCAGCAGTACCAAGGAAAGGCAGGTTACCGCAGACACCGACGGTACCCTCGTATCTGTTCTCGGAAGCTACACCCAGACCAGTGGGAGCAGCAGAGGCAGTAGCTACAGGGAGACCACCACCGCTGAAACCACGTCCGCATCCACCTCCAAGACCCCCGTAGCCCAGACCATCATAGCCCAAACCACCATAGCCCAGACCGCCGTAGCCACGACCTCCATAACCGCAACCACAACCAATGCCTAAAGCGGACTGTGAACAATGTGAAGAAATAAAATATATTAATATTAGAACGCGTTTTACATTAAATATAAGTTTTAGTTGAAAAGACATACCTGAGCCACGAGGGCGATGGCGCAGACGAAGAGAATGAGTTTAGCGGCCATGTTGTTTCACTGAATGACTTCAGAATGAGTTCGATGTCAGTTGTGTCTGTTTTATACGGAATATTTCTCAAGTGTCCTATCTCAAAAACGTGACTTTAACCTACATCACTGTATCTTGTGAAATTTTATATGAAAGAGATTACCCTAACTAGTGGCGCAGCTTTTGGAGACAGCTAAATGATACGTGTCAATCAAGGAAAAAGAATTTTTTTCACAATTCCACATTTCAACACTTTGTCGCAATCGCCCTTATAGGAATACAATTATTCGTATAAAAGGATTGCCGCTGTGCAGTAATAGCATTCTCCGTCTAGTACCTGAATACAACAACATGTCTACCTTCGCTCTGCTTCTCCTCTGCGCTCAGGCCTGCCTGATCCAAGTGAGTAATGTTTAATTTATGTGCTCTGCGCTCTGAAATTGTCACTACTAATATATAATACTGATGTTGTTTCTGATGAGTTTGAATATTGTCATGAAGCGTTACTGTCGTTACAGAACGTATATGGCCAGTCCTTGGGTGGACTAGGCGGTTGCGGTTGTGGAGGTGGCTGGAATGGTTGGAACGGACTCGGTGGTGGTTGGAACGGACTAGGTCTTGGCTGGAACGGCATCGACGGCGGATACGGCGGTGGTTGCGGCTCATACGGAGGTGAGGGTATCGGTAACGTTGGAGTCGCCGGTGAGCTGCCCGTCGGTGGTGTCACCGCTGTCGGCGGCCGCGTGCCCATCATCGGTGGTGTCGAGTACGGAGGTCCCGCCTGCGCCGCTGGTGCCGTCTCCATCTGCGGACACTGCGCTCCCACCTGCGGATGTGGACGCGCTGGTTTCGGTGGATACTACTGAAAATGTAAAGAAAGACAATACGGCAATCCTCCATTAATTAAACTCTGATCGATGCAAGCGTAGCTGGTTTTATTAAGATTTGTTAAGAGAGTTTCCAATAACTTCTTCCCAAGAATTTGGTTTCAACTAAAGCTACTTAATTAAAAATCTTGAACAACATACACGTCTAGTACCTACATTCTTTGATAATATTGAGGACAGGAAGGATTCCCTGAGTAGGCGAAACATTATATTATAGTAAAGTGATGTCTCGGTCTACTATGAAGAAGTACAATTATTTCAGGTAATAGAAATGTTCTCGCGGCCGCTGCTGATGCCGATCACTTCAATCAATTATTACTCTAAGAAATCGCTACAGAGCTTGGTACAAAATATAAATGAAGCATAAAACATTTCCTTTGACCCTGAGTGAGATCTTAATATTTTCGGGCGACTACGGTACCGAAAAATTTAGATGGTTCTTTTGTTGGCTTTATTCTTGTACAAGCTGGGGTTTGGAATGTTAGTTCCACGAATTCAGTTCCAGCGGACTTTTGGTGGAGAATCCTTTCAATTGCCCTATAAATCTACAAACATTTATATTTAGCTTGGAGAGTTGGAAACAACTTGGAAACACGGAGTTTGACCTAACCGAGTTTCCGAACATCAGCGTTATGCTCCGACTAGAGCCTTTTATTGGGTCTCAGATTCTGTCGAACATCAAGAGCCACAAAACGCCCTACTTCGGCTTTGTACAAACACAGACCATTGTTACAAAAATGTTCATTTTGATAGAAATAACTATTGTGTATAACACACATTATAACAAACTTCAGTTCAGTAATGCTTTCAGGGCTGTGTTGGGGCTGCCCCGGTTTTGTAGCGCCTCGGGTATGTTCGCAGTGTCTCGTACGGATTGCTTTCATGCGACCATACGCAAGCGGTGCGCATCCTTGGTACGCAGAGTGCGGGCCAGCTCCAACATGGCACTGGCCATGGTTGCAAACAGACTGGACTGCCCCTATATAAGACACTGTTGTAATAAGCATCTGTCTCTCATTAATCTAACACAGTGACTGGTATGGTGGCGGTTACTCTGTTAACATTATTTAATTATTTATTGTATCAGTTCTTTTATTAATTTTAATTTTATATTAGTAGTTGACAATTTTAATTTTAATAATTTTGATTTGGTTTCATTTTTGTTTGTTTTTGTTTTTAGTCATTCTGATAAATTGTAATTTTAATTTTATTGTATTTTGATTTAGATGTTATGTAATTGTATGTGACATTTTATGGGCTTAAGTTGCCTGAAATAAACGCATTTCATTCATTCATTCATTTCATAACTCATCTCTAAAGTATTTTGAGATGTAATGAATGTGAAATGGCACCCAAGATCATACATAAATCGCATAACTCAGTACGAGTACACAAGGTGTCTTATCCTTTAAGCCACGATGACAGTAAGTAATCTCTGTGTCATATCGTCACGTAGCAAAATTATTATACTGAAACACAATTTGATGCTGGAGTAAAATATATTTTGATTGTTCAGATTATAAAAAGACAAACGTCGTGTTGACAATTTGTTCAGTAGCCGCAGCCACATCCGCATCCGCCGTAACCTCCATAGCCGAGACCGTAGCCGCCTCCGTAACCAGCTCCATAGCCGAGTCCACCCTCGCGGGTAATACCAACGGCACCGTTTCCGCAGCCGTAAAAGATTTCACCAATACCGGCGGTAGGGAACTCTTCAGCGACAGCAGCAGTACCAAGGAACGGCAGGTTGCCGCAGACGCCGACGGTACCCTCGTACCTGTTCTCAGAAGCTATCCCAAGCCCAGTGGGAGCAGCAGAGGCAGTAGCTACAGGGAGACCACCACCGCTGAAACCACGACCGCATCCACCTCCATAGCCCCCGTAGCCCAGACCACCATAGGCCAAACCACCATAGCCCAGACCACCGTAGCCACGACCTCCACAACCGCAACCACAACCGATGCCTAAAGCGGACTGTGAACAATGTGAAGAAATTAAATATACTAGTGGTCTCCCAGTAGTCGTAATATTTTGACTATAATTATTGGACATTATAAGTTTGAACATTATTATTGGTTCTATTATCAAAGACTATTTATTATACTTCTCTATTTACAGATTTTGCCATAAACAAAAAAGTATTTATGGGTGTGTGTGTCAAATACATGGTAGTGTGGGAAATGCTTTTTTTATTGATTTAATGTATTTTTAATACATAATAAACAAGATATTAGCATTCTGCACTCCTTCTCTACTGGGAAACTTGATACTCCTCCGTCTGCACAATTTTCGTAAAAAGGGGTACAAAGTTTTACTCCACGTAGATAGATTATTATTAGAATTCGTTTTACGTTTTATTTGAGCTTTAATTGAAAAGACGTACCTGTGCCACGAGGGCGGTGGCGCAGACGAAGAGAATGAGTTTAGCGGCCATGTTGTTTCACTGAGTGACTTCAGAATGAGTTCACTTGAGCTGCTTCTGCTTTTATACACAACTATTTGCCTTATCGTTCTCGTAGAATTTATCTTAATGAACTATTGACGTGACTTTTGAGATTTTCCAAATTGTAACCTTCAGAGTTAACACTGATTCTCGTCAAATTTTGAAGTAAACTAAAAATACTTGAACGCAGTAAGGATTACTGTAGTTTCACAACTTTTCATTATGAAATTCTGTTATCCGAAGGTGACCACGACCCTCCGCTGCTATATAAGGTGGATGTTCTGTAGTTGGAAACATTCTAGATCAAGTGTCTGAATACATTGCAACATGTCCGCCTTCGCTTTCCTCCTACTCTGCGTTCAGGCTTGCCTGTTGCAAGTAAGTATTTCATTTATTTTATATTGAAAGTATTATGTTTTATTATTTAATAATGACTTAGCACATGTGTTGGGTAACAAATCAGTTCACTGTGTGTCTGTCTTTATGCAACCCGCACTTAGTAATCCTTTTATTAAAAGGAGAACAAGTACCCTCCATATTACACTACATACCTTCTTCCCAAGTATATACTGTCCATAATAAATTGCAAAATATTTTATCACGTAAATACAGACACAATTACAACTTGGTCACAATTTAAAGTATTAGATTCATAATCATAATCTTCTACATATTTACTATTAAGCACTGTGTAATATCTCATGTTTTAATTAATGCTATCTACTATAAGGTGACCTCTGATGTATGTGACTTTTTTGACGAATTTTACCACCAGAATATTCTGATTCTGGTTCGGGAGGATTTCCTAACATTTCTGCCCATTCATCTGGACTTGGTAACTCTTATAAGTTCCTGTTCCCCCAAACTACTAAAAATGTCTTCCATATTTTCTTGTTCCTCAACATTCACTGCCTCACATTCCAATTCCGATTCCTTCCCTCTTTCTGCAGTTTCCTGCCCAGAATCTGTTTATTTTTTAAGTAATTGGTCTATATGTCTATTCACAACTGTTCCATCACCAGTTTCTACTTGATAGTTTCTTGACCCATTACCGTTGTAATAAGTTTTAATCTGTGTGACTATTTTAGAACGTCTACGGACAGTGCCTGGGTAGAGGACTGGAAGGCTGCGGCTGTGGAGGCGGCCTGGGCGGCTACGGACTCGGCTACGGCTTGGGTGGATACGGCGGCGGATATGGCTATGGCGGATACGGCGGTGGTTATTACGGTGGCTATGGCGGCGAGGGCGTCGGTAACGTGGGTGTCGCCGGTGTGCTGCCCGTCGGTGGTGTCACCGCTGTCGGTGGTCGCGTGCCCATCATCGGTGGTGTCGAGTTCGGAGGTCCCGCCTGCGCTGGCGGCTGCGTCTCTATCTGCGGACATTGCGCCCCTACCTGCGGCTGCGGATACGGTGGTCTCTATTACTGAAGAAATTAACTGGCATGATGCAACGAGGTCCTGTTCTCATGAAATATTAACATTGAAAATTGACAATTGATCGAAAAATAAATCTTTGCAAGCATCAAAATCTGGTTTAATTTAATCGTGAAGTTGAAGTGGCTGTCGGCAGTCAGAACTGCTAGTAGAACAGGTGTTGGCTGGGGTCAAAAAGTTCTCGAGTAGTGATAAAACACCGAAAGGCGTAGCGAGGGTAGGCCTTCTACCGACAACCTGGTCATGAGAATCCGCTGATTCGGGCATTGCAGGACCCATCAGTGTAGCGAGCCTTGGGGATGACGACGAGTGTGTCTCTTCAGCACTGTAACACGTCTATTTCATATATTTCATTCTATATCTGTGGTGCCACCGCTGTCGGTGGCCGCGTGCCCATCTTCGATGGTGTCGACTTTGGAGGTCCTGCCTGCGCTGACGGTTACGTCTCTATCTGCGGACGTTGCGCCCCCACTTGCATCTGCGGATGCGGTGGTTATTTATGACAAGAAATCAATGACAAAAGCTTGAAATATAAATAACTTGATCTAAGTAATAAACAGTTCGCTTGGCATCAAAACTTTATTTATTATTTTCTGATTTTCCGTACTTTATAAAATCATTGGTTATTTATTACTCAAGGTTCAGTGTATTTCCTATTCATGGGCAGACGGACTCACGACCTGTCTGGTACTCAGTACTTACTTAGTTACTTATATTAGTACTTAACCCATAGCATTCAGAACGTGAATATCACTCCCTATAGTTTCCATTTTATTAACCTCTGTCCCATCCTTATATTTCTTATTTCATCTCTGATATTATTTGTTTTATTTATTATACTGATTAATGTTGATCTTTTTTTTGGGAATTCACTGGATTTTTCGGGTATGTTTCTCTTAATGTTTGATTCGCCTTCAATGTTGGATTTGGTCATGCTGTTCGTTTTTCGTGTATTGTGTCATATTTCTGTTGGGAGCTAAATGTTCTATTGATGATTATGTCACAGAGTTGAGGTTCTGTTTTACAATAGCTATTCTTTCGTTACCATGTGGTAGCCGCCAGAACGTAAATAGCACTTCCCCATTTGAGGTCAAATTTTCCATTTTTTTGACCTCTTTTAAAATTCCTAATTCATCTCTGTTTTTGTTTTATTTTTTGTACTGATTAATTGTGATATCTAGAAATACTAGAGCGGTATCAAAGCAAAATAATGAGAGCCATGTTCAATATTCCATCGTACGTATGCAACAAATATGTAAATCTGGATTTGAATCTAAGAACAGTGATGGAAGAAATTGAAATATACAACAAAAGTTACCAAACACGACTTGACCAACACATTAATCGGCTAGCTGCAGAGCCGCAGGGGGAGGGCGGGGGGGGCGGTCTACGATACTCTCGCCTAAAAAGGAATAGTATATCAGACCTAGCAATAAGATTTGCAGATAGGAGATGAGAATGGTACCACTGGGGACACAACTCAGCTAACTCAACTTTTCCTAATGAAAATCTGACATCAAATTAGATTATTGTTTTTGAAGTAACAGATTGCTAAGTTGCAGTATAGAAAAAAAAATTGTTGCACACAAATAATGTTAAAGTTAAATTCTGTCCAAATGAGTTTAGAAATATCAAGGAGCTGTTTTTACAAATTTTTATCAAAGTCTACTTACTACTTACACCGATTTCTGTGTTAAGATTTTACAAACAGACAGAGCTACTTCCTCAATATTATTATTTGTTGTAACAACGTCTGAGAACATAAAGGTTAAGCTTATATTGTACTCTTTAGTAGTTCAAAAACACAGACATAAAATAATTCAAAAAATTTCGGATTTCTGTTCAATTATTCTTTTTAATTTACCTTTTTCAATTATTATAACTTTTTCAATGTGGATACTAATTTATATTCGAGCACCGGCGTGATAACATCGCCTGGTGCGAGCAACCCGGGCATCTTATCCTATAAGCCACGATGACAGTAAGTAATATAATATCTCTGTATTTTATCAACATGGAGCACAATTGTTACACTGAAACACAATGTCATGCTGGAGTAAAATATATTTTGAGTGTTCTGATTATAAAATGACAAGCGCCGTGTTGACAATTTGTTCAGTAGCCGCAGCCACATCCGCATCCGCCGTAGCCTCCATAGCCGAGACCGTAGCCGCCTCCGTAGCCTCCAATGCCGAGACCGTAGCCGTCTCCATAGCCGAATCCACCCTCGCGGGTAATACCAACGGCACCGTTGCCACAGCCGTAATCGATTTCACCAATACCGGCGGTGGGGAACTCGCCAGCGACATCAGCAGTACCAAGGAACGGCAGGTTGCCGCAGACACCGACGGTACCCTCATACCTGTTCTCGGAAGCTATCCCAAGCCCAGTGGGAGCAGCAGAGGCAGTAGCAACAGGGAGACCACCACCGCTGAAACCGCGACCGCATCCACCTCCAAGACCCCCGTAGCCCAGACCCCCGTAGCCCAGACCACCATAGCCCAAACCACCATAGCCCAGACCGCCGTAACCACGACCTCCGCAACCACAACCAATGCTTAAAACGGACTGTGAACAATGTGAAGTAATTAAATATATTATTATTAGAACGCATTTTACATTAAATATAAGTTTAATTGAAAAGACGTACCTGTGCCACGAGGGCGGTGGCGCAGACGAAGAGAATGAGTTTAGCGGCCATGTTGTTTCACTGATTGACTTCAGAATGAGTTCGATGTCAGTTGTGTCTGTTTTATACGGAATATTTCTCAAGTGTCCTATCTCAAAAACGTGACTTTAACCTACATCACTGTATCTTGTGAAATTTTGTTTCATTGAGATTACCCTAACTAGTAATGTGGCTGTTGGAGACAGCTAAATGATACGTGTCAATCAAGGAAAAAGTAGTTTTTTTCACAATTCTACATTTCAACACTTTGTCGCAATCGCCCTTATAGGAATACAATTATTCGTATAAAAGGATTGCCGCTGTGCAGTAATAGCATTCTCCGTCTAGTACCTGAATACAACAACATGTCTACCTTCGCTCTCCTTCTCCTCTGCGCTCAGGCCTGCCTGATCCAAGTGAGTAATCTTTATTTTATGTGCTCTGCGATATAAAATTTGTGTTTTTGCTGTTCGATTGGAATGTCCACGAGAATCTTCACTCTCGTTACAGAACGTATACGGCCAGTACTTCGGTGGACTAGGCGGTTGCGGTTGTGGAGGTGGCTGGAATGGTTGGAACGGACTCGGTGGTGGTTGGAACGGACTAGGTCTTGGCTGGAACGGCATCGACGGTGGATACGGCGGTGGTTGCGGTTCATACGGAGGTGAGGGTATCGGTAACGTTGGAGTCGCCGGTGAGCTGCCCGTCGGTGGTGTCACCGCTGTCGGCGGCCGCGTGCCCATCATCGGTGGTGTCGAGTACGGAGGTCCCGCCTGCGCCGCTGGTGCCGTCTCCATCTGCGGACACTGCGCTCCCACCTGCGGATGTGGACGCGCTGGTTTCGGTGGATACTACTGAAAATGTAAAGAAAGACAATACGGCAATCCTCCATTAATTAAACTCTGATCGATGCAAGCGTAGCTGTTTTTATTAAGATTTGTTAAGAGACTTTCCAATAACTCTTCCCAAGAATTTGCTTTCAATTAAAGCTATGTGATTAAAAATCTTGAACAACATACACGTCTAGTACCTACATTCTTTGATAATATTGACGACAGAAGGGATTCCCTGAGTAGGCAAAACATATGGTAAAAGTGGAGTCTGGGTCTTCTATGAAGAAGTACAGCAGTTTCAGGTAGGTAATAGAAATGTTTTTGCGGCCGCTGATGATGCCGTGATACATGCCAACGATCTGATCACCTCAATCAATTACTCGAAGGGATCGCCACAGAGCTTATGGTACAAAATATAAATGAAGCCTAAAACATTTCCTTTTACCCTGAGATCTTAATATTTTCGGGTGACTACGGTACAAAAAAATCTAAATGGTTCTCTTGTTGGCTTTATTCTTGTACAAGCTGGGGTTTATAATGTTAGTTCCACGAATTCAGTTCCAGCGGACTTTTGGTGGAGAATCCTTTCAATTGCCTTATAAATCTACAAACCTTCCCTTAGATGGGTGTACGAGCTCACAGCCCACCTGGTGTTAAGCGGTTACTGAAGCCCATAGACATCTACAACGTAAATGCGCCACCCACCTTGAGACATAAGTTCTAAGGTCTCAAATATAGTTACAACGGCTGCCCCACCTTTCAAACCAAAACGCATTACTGCTTCATGGCAGAAATAGGCAGGGTGGTGGTACCTACCCGCGCGGACTCATTAGAGGTCCTACCACCAGTAATAAAGTGTTGTGAACCTTGGGGGAGGCCTAGGTCCAGTAGTGGTCTAGGCTGATGATGATGATGATAAAGCTCTTTAATTACCATCCTCTCCAGCAGCAAAACATCTTTATCGGAGTAGCTATCACGAAATCGATTAAAGTGAAAAACATAAACTCCTTCCTTAATAAAGATTTTCAGGACATAGTATCCTTCATTTCTCAATTTGAATTTTATTACTCTTCTTAAATGGGCACAACACACACTCATTCAAGCCTAGCTCTTCTGCAGAAGACACATCGGTAGGACTTTCGTGCGACNCTCCAGCAGCAAAACATCTTTATCGGAGTAGCTATCACGAAATCGATTAAAGTGAAAAACATAAACTCCTTCCTTAATAAAGATTTTCAGGACATAGTATCCTTCATTTCTCAATTTGAATTTTATTACTCTTCTTAAATGGGCACAACACACACTCATTCAAGCCTAGCTCTTCTGCAGAAGACACATCGGTAGGACTCTCGTGCGACATCTAAACAATTAGAAAGGAAGTCACGTTACCTGACTACATGTTCATTTTTTATGCCCCGACTAGAGCCTTTATTTTTTTTGACGTGGGAACCCACCACAATTACATCCCAAGAGAGTCATGGACAGAGAAACATTTAAACTGTTTCAAGGCCATGACCACGACCCTCAGTAATGAGGAAACCGACGCAAGGAAGGAAGAGCCTTTATTGGATTTCAGAATCTGTCGAACATCCAGAGCCACAAAATGCCCTACTTCGGCTTTGTACAAAAACAGACCATTGTTACAAAAAAAATCATTTTGATAGAAGTAACTATTGTGTATAACATAGATTATCACTCATGAATATGAAATGGCACCCAAGATCATACATGAAAGGCCTCCAAAAGACACGTTCCTCAATGTCACTTTGATCGTATCACTCCCTATATTGAAGATAAACTCTTTTGCAACCATATCATTCACTATATAAACATGCCATACCTTGATAAGTAGGTAAATAATACAGAGGCCCATAGTTCTTCAGACTAATTTAGGTGTTCACGGCCAAATCTTAAGCGAGCTTGTCTGGGTGTTGCAGACAGCTTTAAACCATTTGCTGGCCTAAAGACTCCGATAGGTCTTAGCTTCATTCGCGTAAACACGTTAACTCCACGTGCTTGATTCGGCTCTGCTTTGATGTTAAGTGACGTGAGGATGCGATTTCGCAGGGAAGCTGACAGACCCATTCGTTGTTTCGACGGGTGGTTACTCGAGCTCTGCCGGTACCACAACTCCTTCTGTAAGAACCGGTCTCTACAAGCCTTCTATACACTTTAGCAACCGCAGACCGGTTTAAATTTCTATCCGTTGATGCCGAACTAATGCCACAACTTGTGCGGCTTGTTCGAACGAAGTATCCACATTATTGTGCCGAAGCTCTTGTTAAGTTATAAAGCAAAAGCGTGGGGTGCATGGTATCAATACTTTTGTAGGAATATACGATAAGGAAAAGATCTTCCACCGAGCGGGTGATATTGCTCAGTAGACCGACGGTCCAGATGTTGTTGTTCGGAACTTGTATATATGCGCTTTATCTTGAAAATGTCGTAAGTGAGATTCAGGCATCTGTCAATTATCTTGCGTTGTATGATGGCTACCCGCCACACGTTCAGTATTTTATGAACGGATATGAGTAGAAGGATTATTTTGATAATATCCTGAAAAGTAACCCACGCTTTTTTTTTACAATAAAATCAATAATTTCTTACACTATTCTTAATTCAAATTTATTAAAATTTGTTTTCTCTTTTTTAGTTGGAATTTCTATAAAAGCGTATTTTTTTTAGTTTTTTTAAACTATTATTTATTATTACAAGACGTTATTCTTTCATCGAGGAAGTCATTCTTGAATATTAGGAATGTAGACTGATTCCGGGATGTACAGCGCTGGTACAGTCGCATAACTCAGTACGAGTACACTAGGAGTCTTATCCTTTATGCCACGATGACAGTAAGTAATATTCTATCTCTGTATTATATCAACACGGAGCATAATTATTACACTGAAACACAATTCGATGTTGGAGTAAAATATATTTTGAGTGTTCAGATTATAAAAGGACAAATGAGTCGTCTATTATCAAAGGCGGCAATCTGACTTTTGGACAATGATTGGTAAATCAGAAAAACGAATTATTGACTTTGTATTCCATTGGCAGTCACAAAACTCTTCGGAACGACATCTTAGATAAATAACAGGTTAACTATTAACCTATATTTAATGCAGGTTTTGAACCGTATTCTCTGAAGGAGACGATTATATCCAAATAAATCTGTATTGACATATCAATAAAAAATTTTTGTCCAAATGTACAGATTGCCGCCTTTGATAATAGACGACTCAAATGTCGTGTTGACAATTTGTTCAGTAGCCGCAGCCACATCCGCATCCGCCGTAGCCTCCATAGCCGAGACCGTAGCCACCTCCGTAGCCTCCATAGCCGAGACCGTAGCCGCCTCCGTAACCAGCTCCATAGCCGAGTCCACTCTCGCGGGTAATACCAACGGCACCGTTTCCGCAGCCATAGAGGATTTCGCCAATACCGGCGGTGGGTAACTCGCCAGCGACAGCAGCAGTACCAAGGAACGGCAGGTTGCCGCAGACACCGACGGTACCCTCGTACCTGTTCTCGGAAGCTATCCCAAGCCCAGTGGGAGCAGCAGAGGCAGTAGCTACAGGGAGACCACCACCGCTGAAACCACGACCGCATCCACCTCCATAGCCCCCGTAGCCCAGACCACCATAGCCCAGACCACCATAGCCCAGACCACCATAGCCCAGACCGCCGTAGCCACGACCTCCACAACCGCAACCACAACGGATGCCCAAAGCGGACTGTGGACAATGGGAAGAAATTAAATATACTAGTGGCTCAGTAATCGAAATTCGACTATAAATAATAGGCATTATAAGTTTGAACATTATTCCAATAATAATCTATTATCAAAGTCTATTTTTTATACTTCTCTATTCACAGATTTCGCCATAAACAAAAAAGTATTTATGCGTGTGTGTGTGTCAAATACATGGTAGTGTGGGAAATGTTTTCTTTATTGATTTAATGTATTTTAAAATAACATGTATTCTTAGATTTCGAATTCTAAATATTATTAACACACCGATTCCAGTCGGGAATATAACTGGATATTTGAGTACAGAATAACTTGACACAACTAACAACAATGACTAATCTAATTATTATATCTAATAAATGAATAAAAATAATAATTATTTAGGTAAAGCTACTTATAAATAGAAAAACATACTACACATTTAAAATAGATAAAAAAGTAAACTTATACAAATAGTATATATAGTATGCTATATTTATAGTATAGTAGCTATATCTAGAATGTATATAAATAGTTAGCTCAATAGACGTTAGTCAGCCCTCGTAAAAAAAGAATATTAATAATAGAAATGTGGGGCTTTCCCTAAAATCTGTTCCTAGTGAGCGTTCATGACTTGAAATGAGCAACTATGCTTAGTTTCAATTCAATCGGACATACAGCTTCGGAGGTCTTGTGATGAGTGAGCCAGTGGGTTTAATGCATAATTTAAAAATATATTAGCATTCTGCACTCTTTTTCTACTGGGAAATTTGATACTCCTCCGTCTGCACAATTTTCGTAAAAAGGGGTACAAAGTTTTACTCCACGTAGATATATTATTATTAGAATTCGTTTTACGTTTTAGTTGAGCTTTAATTGTAAAGACGTACCTGTGCCACGAGGGCGGTGGCGCAGACGAAGAGAATGAGTTTAGCTGCCATGTTGTTTCACTGAGTGACTTCAGAATGAGTCCACTTGAGCTGCTTCAGCTTTTATACACAACTATTTGCCTTATCATTCTCGTAGAGTTTATCTTAATGAATTATTGACGTGACTTTTGAGAATTTCCAAATTGTAACCTTCAGAATCAATAGTGATAATCGTGAAATTTTGAAATAAACTAAAAATACCTGAACGCAGTAAAGATTACTCTAGTTTCACAATTTTTCATTATGAAATTCTGTTATCCCAAGGTGACCACGACCCTCAGCTGCTATATAAGGTGGATGTTCTGTAGTCGGAAACATTCTAGATCAAGTGTCTGAATACATTGCAACATGTCCACCTTCGCTTTTTTTCTCCTCTGCGTTCAGGCTTGCCTGATCCAAGTAAGTATTTCAGTTATTTTATATTGAAAGCAAATTTTATTTTACGTGAAGTCCTCTTCTCTCTCGGTGCTATTTGATGTAGTAGTATGCGATTCTTTTCAAAGTTTTAATCTTTGTGACTATTTTAGAACGTGTACGGACAGTGCCTGGGTAGAGGACTGGGAGGCTGCGGCTGTGGAGGCGGCCTGGGTGGCTACGGACTCGGCTACGGCTTGGGTGGATACGGCGGCGGATATGGCTATGGCGGATACGGCGGTGGTTACGGTACCTATGGCGGCGAGGGCGTCGGTAATGTGGGTGTCGCCGGTGAGCTGCCCGTCGGTGGTATCACCGCTGTCGGTGGCCGCGTGCCCATCATCGGTGGTGTCGAGTTTGGAGGTCCTGCCTGCGCTGGCGGCTGCGTCTCTATCTGCGGACGTTGCGCCCCCACTTGCGGCTGCGGATGCGGTGGTTATTATTGAGAAGAAATCAATGACAAAAACTTGAAATCCAAATAACTTGATCAAAGTAATAAATAGTTCGCTTGGCATCAAAAATTTGTTTATTATTATAATTTCTGATTTTCCGTACTTTATAAAATCATTGGTTATTCATTACTCAAGGTACAGTGTATTTCCTATTTATGGGTAGATGGAATCACGGCCTGTCTGGTACTAAGTACTTCCATATTAGTACCAGACCTATAGCCGCCAGAACGTGAATATCACTCCCCATTGGAGGTCAAAGTTTCCATTTTATTAACCTCTGGCCCATCCTTATATTTCCTATTTCATCTCTGACACTTTTTGTTTTATTTATCGTCAATGTTGGATTTGGTCATGCTGTTCGTTTTTCGTGCATTGTGTCATATTTCTGTTGGGAGTTAAATGTTCTAGAGATGATTCTGTCACAGAGTTGAGGTTCTGTTTTATAGTAACTAAGTAACTCTTCTTTCATTACATTTTTTGTGTTATTATTGTTATAGCTTTAAAGGGCCGGCTTGGTTTTACGCTGATGACTGGTGGTAGGACCTCTTGTGAGTCCGCACGGGTAGGTACCACCGCCCTGCCTATTTCTGCCGTGAAGCAGTAATGTGTTTCGGTTTGAAGGGTGGGGTAGCCGTTGTAACTATAATGAGACCTTAGAACTTATATCTCAAGGTGGGTGGCGCATTTACGTTGTAGATGTCTATGGGCTCCAGTAACCACTTACCAGGTGGGCTGTGAGCTCGTCCACCAATCTAAGCAATAAAAAAAAAAAAAAAAAACTGTTCAGACATTTTCTAAGCATTCTATACTTGCTATTTAAATTGTGATTTTTGATGGTGATGCAGTTTAAGTCAGATTACATTTATTACAGAATGCTTAGAACATATCTGAACACGTCATCGGCTTAAAACCAAGCCGGCCCTTCAAAGCTTAAACAATAATAACACAAAATAACGAAATAATAACTACTTAGCTACTATAAAATTGAATATCAACTCTGTGACAGAATCGTCTCTAGAACTTTTAAGCACCGAATAGAAATATGATACAATACAAGAAATACTAACAGCATGACCAAAAAACAACATTGAAGACGAATCAAACATTAAGAGAAACATACCAGAGAAATCCATCGAGCTCCTTGAAAAAATATCAAAATTAATCAGTCATCATCATCATCATGCTTTCCTATTACCCTCTGCTGGGGTGTAGGACTCGAATCAAATTTTTCCATTTATATCGGTCTTGGGCAGTCTGTTCTAGCTCCTCCCACGTCATGCCCAAGACCCCTAGCTCCTGCTCCACCGAGCGATGCCAAGTTGTTCTGGGGCGGCCTCTCTTCCTTTTACCAGACACTTTCCAGGTCAGTGCTCTCTTTGATAGGTGTGTATCGGGCTTTCTCAAAGTGTGACCAATCCAATGCCACTTCCACACACAAAATTAATCAGTACAACAACTAAAACACAAACAATCAGAGATGAAATAGGAATTTTAATAGCGGTCAAAAAAATTGAAACTTTGATCTCAAATGGGGAAGTGATATTCATTCTGATTCAGGCGCCCGTCGCGTGCTGACGTGCTCATCGACCGGGGCATATCTGGCGTCCAAGTGTTTTTCTCGGAAGTGACTACCTATGCTAATTGCGTAGCATCGCGATCTGTGAGCGGGCGGACCCCTAAATTCCAGGAATTGGTTCGGTAACTTAGTGGCCCGTTTGCAAGCGAACGGCTGTGTGACGTAATTAATTGCGATTATTGTAAGTTTGGGGCCTCGCCGTAAAACGAGGGTGTTTTAAAGTCCCGTGACAGCCCCCCCTGGACACTCGTCTATTATAATGGAGTCCACGGTCGACCTGTTTGCGGAATTTCTTCGCCTGAGGTACTCAACGCTATCGGCAGAATTTTTAGAATTCAAGAACCATCACGCCGCGAACTCGCCCACAGTTTCCGTCGCACCCGTCGCTCCCGCGTCGTCCATCGCGGCCTCCGTCGCGCCCGCCGCTCCCGTGTCCCCGATACTCGCGCCCAAAACTTCTGCGTCGACCGTTGCCGCTTCCGCCCCAACCGTGCGTTCGTCCGCGGCCTACGTTGCATCCGTGCGTTCGTCCGCGGCCTACGTTGCATCCGTGCGTTCGTCCACAGCCTCGGTCGTGCCTGCGTCGTTCACTGCGCGCGCTAAAACACCTGCCTGCAGGTCGCCCGCGCCCTCCTCATCCGACTCAGAGTCGGACATGGAGGTCGACCCTTCCCCCGCCGTCCCGACTGATGGATTCACAGTAGTCCAAAAAGGTAAAAAGCCTACGAGGCCCGAGCTTCCGCGGCCGCCAAAGTAAGCAAAGCCGCGAACACGTCGCGTCCCCGCCCTCCAACCCTTGTCGTCCCCCCTGTCCGTGCCACACCGTCGCCGCGTCCAGTGGCACAAATCAAAACCTAGACCCCTCCCCCGATAATCCTTCAAGAGAAGGCAGCGTGGGAACGAGTTTCCCTAGCCCTTCAGGCCAAAAAAATTAATTATTCCAGCGTCCGCAATTTCGCAAACGGCGTACAGATAAAGGTGCAATCACCCAACGACCATAGGGCCCTATCTTCATACCTCTGTAAGGAGCGTATAAGCTTTCACACTTATACGCTTCAGGAGGAGCGCGAACTCCGCGCGGACATACACGGCATTCCGAGAGAATTAGATGCCGGGCTCTTCAAGGCCGACCTTCTGGAACAAGGTCTGCCGGTCAACTCCGTCCACCGCATGCACACAGGACGCGGGAAGGAGCCATACAATATGGTTCTCGTCGCCTTCCAGCCTAGCCCTGAGGGTAAACAAATCTTTAACGTCCGAACAGTCGTAGGCTATTGGGAATAACCTTAGAAACCCCCCATAAAAAGGCACTCCGAGACAGGGCCATAACTGCTAACTGTACGGGCACTCTTCCCGTAACTGTGACGCGCGCCCCCGATGCGTAAACTGTTTAGGCGATCACGCTACGGCCCTATGCACTCGCGACCAAAAAACCACGACGGAACCGCCTAGCTGCGTCCTTTGTCGAACACAGGGTCACCCCGCTAATTACTCCGTCATGATAATCGCCTTATCGTTGCCGCCGCTGACTACTCCCCGAATCCTGACCACGCAGGAGCAAGTCACCGTCGTCGCCCTAGACACGTCCTTACGGATCCATCAGATCCAATAACTCTTGCATTAGATACCTTCAGCTCTAACACTAGGAGCAGGCTGGGGAACCCCGGTAACCGTACGCGTTGAACTCGACAAAGAGGTCGACGTGCAACCTAACTCGAGCATCAGTCCGCTGAGTTTCTCGCCTCCTCAGCCTCGACAGACCTCCGGGCCACCAGTAATCTTTCAATCATAAAAAAAGGAAGTGATATTCACGTCCTGGCGGCTACCACATAAAAATGAAAGAATAGCTACTGTAAAACAAAACCTCAACTCTGTGACAGAATCATCACTATAACATTTAACTCCCAACAGAAATATGACACAATACACGAAATATTAACAGCATGACCAAAAACATACTAAAAAAATCCAGTCAATTCCCAAAAAAAAAGATCAAAATTAATCAGTATAATAAATAAAACAAAAAGTATCAGAGATGAAATAGGAAATAAAAGGATGGGACAGAGGTTAATAAAATGGAAACTTTGACCTCCAATGGGGAGTGCTTCTGGCGGCTATAGGTTAAGTACTAATATGGAAGTACTTAGTACCAGAAAGGCCGTTAGTCCGTCTGCCCATGAATAGGAAATACACAGTACCTTGAGTAATGAATAACCAATGATTTTATAAAGTACGGAAAATCAGAAAATAATAGACAAAGTTTTGATGCCAAGCGAACTGTTTATTACTTTAAGTTATTTGTATTTCATGCTTTTGTCATTGATTTCTTCTCATTAATAACCACCCCATCCGCAGCCGCAAGTGGGGGCGCAACGTCCGCAGATAGAGACGCAGCCGCCAGCGCAGGCCGGACCTCCAAACTCGACACCACCGATGATGGGCACGCGGCCACCGACAGCGGTGACACCACAGACGGGCAGCTCACCGGCGACACCCACATTACCGACGCCCTCGCCGCCATAGCCACCGTAGTAACCACCGCCGTATCCGCCATAGCCATATCCGCCGCC